TATCTATCTATCTATCTATCTATCTATCTATCTATCTATCCATCTATCTATCTATCGATCCATCGATCCATCTATCTAACTATACATTTATTTGCGTACAATACGATCATATTATAATTTGGACTAAATATAATTTATGCAGTTAAACATGGATATGCTTTCTTGACACAGAAGATAATTTACTCCTCCATAAATTTTGATTCATTGCACTATTTTTGTACTTTATTTAGTCTAAAAAAATATTTTTTAGATAACCCTGTAACAAATCGTGTAAGTGTTGTAAAAATAACACAACCCCACAAAAAAAGTTTCTGTACCAGAGACACGAGTACGTAGATTTTGTGTATTGTTTGATGCTAGAGTCCAAATCCGCAGTCCAAAAACCGATCTACCAGGGTATTTTTTTAGTAAAACTCTAAAATATCTCCTAAAATACGGTGAAATAGTAGATAAGGTAGAGCTTTAGGTATAATGAAAAGTAACGATTTTTAATTACTTAGAGAATTGTAAGTTAATATTTTGATCGTTGAAAATAAACTTATGCAAATTAAATCCACACCCACCCTTACGAGGGGGTTAGTTCCACGCTTAAGATCAAATAACGAATGTTAGTGCAAAACAACGTGAAAAGCCACAGCCTTTTATTTTAAGTACCAAATACATAAATGTAGGTTGACAGATAACATACCAAAAAAATGTGATATGTTTTATCTCTCAAAAGGTTGGATATCACCTACATCCTGGTATGTAGGCCCCTCTCAGTTACACATATTTCTATTCAATATTTTTGCACTAAATTTTGTTACCACAGGTTTTTGGGGTCGATGATACGAATCTGAGGTCCGAATCCAAAAATTCCTGAATAGAAGATGGCTGTTCAAATATGGCGGATGTAAAAATCAGAAAAGCATTCCAAATTTGAAGATTATGGTTGAAACTTGTTACTCGATGGTTTTCAAAGTTGCCAATCACGAATATATGGAATAATTAATTAATTCGGAAATTATTAAATGGCGGATTGAAAGATGATCATACGAATTTGTATTTACCACCCAAAGAAATGCGTTATGAATGTTTAAAAAATTTTAGCAATACTAGACAAATGTCTAAAAATGAGAAAGAAATAATATAAATTCTATTTGCAGTGTGCTGTCTCCTTCAAATACTCTTATCTCAGCAGGGTTGTGATAACATCATACGCATAAATGGGAAATATAAGACGCATAAAATGAGTAAGGTTTTAGAGCTGAAAATATAAATTTGATCATTCATGTTTCAATTAAATTGTAACTAGTCCAGTTGGTAGAGGTTCGGCCTTTGTCAAACCTTGATAACCCGGAAATAACTACACAGGCCTACTTTAAATGATGAGTACAATAGCAGGCTAATTTGCTGACAAAGTATTTTATCAGGAAAAAAAGTTATTAACAATTTAGTAGTGAAATTTTTTTTTTAGTAGTTTTCTTTATTATAACTCAACGGGATGACTTTGTACGAAAAAATGCTTAGGACATGATTTTGTTCGTAATAAATATAGCTACAAAATGGCGGTGGTTCGATTACGAAATTTGTAATATCAAAGCCGTGAGATTGAAAAAACGGTATAAAACCTCAATTTTATAAAGTTGCTGTAAAAATGTCAATTATAAACAAAAAGAGATAAAACTTTCGAAAACTATAGTTCAATATATATACAAAAACGACACTAAAGCCGAAAATCAGGAGAGCAAAAATGTTTGTTCTACAAGGTGTTATACATTCATCGGCATCTGAAACTTTGCCAAATTTGTTCGAAGCTTTGCTGACACTTGAAATTTTGTACACACATAGTGTAAATATGCAGAAACCAAAAGCAATTTGCAAAATTCAAGTATCTTCATTTTTGCAGTTTTGGTAAGGTTTTATACGTCACCCTAGTTTTATACGTCACCGTTTTTTTTTTAATTTTTGGACGTATATTATGTATACAGGGTGGTCCACTTTTTTTTTTCAAACCTAAGGAATCAATACATTATCAAAAAATAATGTTAGTTTGCTAAATAAACTATACCCGACAAATGTTTACTTTTTGAGATACAGCGCGTCAGTTTCCCGAAAAAAAAATATATTTTTAGAATTTTTCTGCAGGTGATGAGGTTTCACCCGTAAGATTTTTATAAATGATTTTGCACTGTACGTGTGATCTTTGGAGAATTTTTAAATTTTTTTACTTTACCAGTGACGGAGAAAATAGGGGTCTCCATTGATTTAGTAAAAAAATATTAGTACGCCACTGGCTTTAAATTTAAAAAACAATAATTTTTGGATTCTCCGTTTAATTTGGGACAAAAAAATATCCTTGTAAGTTTTTCGTAACTATTATCATTTTCAAGTAAAATTACAATAGACCTACAAATTGCACGACAATAAAATAATTACTGTATCAATTCAATAATCAATATTTAATAAAACTATTAAAAATAATTACAGCTGCATAACATCTAATGAAGTTGTTCGAAATGCCCGCCTGCTGCATTAATACACATTTCACATCTTTGTATTAAAGAATTTATCCCCGCGATGATTTCATGTGGCCTCTGCTTGAGATTATCACAGGCGTATATTATTCTTCTCTGCAACTGATTTCTGTCTTCAATTGGTACAGAGTAAACATCATCTTTCAACGTACCCCATACATAGTAGTCGAGGGGGTTAAGATCTGGTGATCTAGGAGGCCAAGGCACCGGCCCCTCCACATTAAACAACGGTTCATATGGCAAACGTCCTATCCAGCGGTTCTGATAATTTACATTCATCTAGTTGCGAACTATTTGACCAGAGTGAGCTGGAGCTCCATCCATTTGGAACCAACTGCGATATCTTTGGTTTAAGGGAATATCTTCCAGTAATTGAAATAACTTATTTTCCAGAAAATTAGCAAATGATACTGAATTTAGCCTTGGAGGTAATACATAAGGTCCACAAATATTTCCACCCATCACACCTAACCAGATATTAGAACTAAATTCTTGCTGGTATGATCGGCGTCTCACTTCATGAGCCCAAATATGACTGTTGTGATAATTAAATGTGCCTCTTCTTGTAAAACAAGCTTCATCGGTCCATAAAATATTTCGAATAAATTCATTGTTATACTGCCAACGGTTTAAAATCCAGCGACAAAAGCTTAACCTTTTTTCAGCATCTCCTGGATGTAGATCTTGTACGGGATTGAAGTGATATGCACGTTTACGGAAATTGCGATAGCAACGCCAAACAATCTTGAAGAATATCGAAGGCGTCTTACGATTTGAGAAACTCTCGACTTATCAGATTTTTATGTACACTTGTATTAGAATTAGGCAAATTATGTTTAGGCAAGTAAAACATAATAAATAATAAATTCGCATGGTAATATGTCCACGTTATTGTATAGAAATAAGTAAATAAATTTTACTTGAAAATGATAATAGTTACGAAAAACTTACAAGGATAATTTTTTGTCCCAAATTAAGCGGAGAATCCAAAAAATATTGATTTTTAAATTTAAAGCCAGTGGCGTACCAATATTTTTTTACTAAAATAATGGGGACCCCTATTTTCTCCGCCACTGGTAAAGTAAAAAAATTTAAAAATTCTCCGAAGATCACACGTACAGTGCCAAATCATTTATAAAAATCTTACGGGTGAAACCTTGTCACCTACAGAAAAATTCGAAAAATATATTTTTTTTCGGGAAACTTTAACGTGCTGTATCTCGAAAAGTAAACATTTGTCGGGTATAGTTTATATAGCAAACTAACATTATTTTTTGATAATGTATTGATTCCTGAAGTTTGATCGAAAGAAAGTGGACCACCCTGTATTTATAAAATATTCCATTTCGATAGATTAGCTACAAGATTAATTACCTACAATTTAAAAAAATATATATTTTCATCGTTTAGATCCTAAGCTACTTAACATTTTGCGCCCGTTAGCCATACTCGTACATTATTCAACATATCAACATAAAACAAAAAAATACGAGTGGGGTAAACCTTTATCTTTAAGTAAACAATTGTTTAAATTTACTGTAGCATATTTCTAATAGTATACAAGCGCCGAAGAGCTGGGCTCGCGCTGGAAAATGAAATTTCTGTCGTGTAATCTTAGCTATTTATTAGATATTGTGGGTGTAATTCAATGCTGGATGAAGCTGTACTCCGTATAGTTGTTTCCTAGTTAAAAACTTCATTTCGCTTAGTGTCATACTAGTCATATTTCCATGGGATCTACAAATTAGTAGGTCGCTCTGTGCCAGTAGGTATAAAGCAATGATTTGTGCTAGTAGACATTGAGTAGCTGCAACAATTAAGATATTCTTGTAGGTACACTCTACTATATGAGCAAAGCTATTATGACAAAGAATTTCGGCTATGACATGATAATAAAAGCTGCTGTTGATAGCCGAAAAGTTTAATTTATTGTTGAACGAAGATGTCTTATCAAAAAGAAGTAAACGAAAAGAAGCTACCATAAAATTGTACCTTCGGTTAATCTACCCATATTGCAATATCAATTGGAAGGTAGTTTTGACTTCACTTGTACAGCAACTTGTAGACTATTAGTCATATCTGAGTAATTTATAAAAACAACTTAACAAATTATGATACTTATTTCATTATTTTAATTTGTAGTATATTTCAGTCAACACTTGACCCATTCCTTCAGATACTTATGAACAATCTGTATTAGGTGAAATTTAATGAAAACGCCATATCCAATAATTGATATTTTAATATGAAGTATTTTGCTTAATTGGAGAATTAAAAGTATGATTTTATTTCATTGTCATAAAAAGATCAACGATCTGTAAGAAAACTGATCGATGCGTTGCTAAGTGCCAAGCGGAGAAGAATAATATAAATATCTCAAATGAGGTATCACTATACTTATTTTTGAATTATTTAGGGTGGGCCGTGAAATTCTTTGATATTCTTTTTAAACGGGCGTACCTAATAAAATGCATAATATTGTGCGTAAAATATTCTTTATTTTACAATACATTAACTATAATAGTGCTACTGTTTTGCAGTACATTTTTTAAAATATCCTGAAATGTGCCAATTCAATTCTTCTAAGTAGATGCAAAAAATTGTTGACAATTTCGGCACAGAATTTTTATTACGAAAAATAATTTACATAAGTTTAAGTAATATCATCTCTTATTAAAAGTGTACTCTCTTAAATAAGTTTACAATGTTTTACTAAAATTAAACATATTGATATTCAAGTATATAGTTTGGGTATGTCTATGTTGTTATTTTGTACTCAAAATTGTATATAAAATTTATGTGACTATTTAAAACAATCAATTTATATTATACATTTTACATATCTATTAAATATAATATGAGTGAAACCTAAAAACAATATTCATTGCTTTAGTCATGAACATAAGCATCGTTGTTAAGCAATTTTGCAGATCCTGACCAGTAGTGTCTACCATACATCTTCACGTTGCACATCAGCCTTGACGAAAGAAAATGTACTATTTCCACGATAGACAAGAAGGAAAATCCAGTGAATAGTCCAAGGATACCCCCACAGTTGGCAAGAAAATCTGTCTGGCCGAACAGTTCGTTCCTTTCCGAATTTATGAATTGCTGCTGCTTAAAGAACAGGTTCAACCTGGTGAAGTGCATTCTGAAATAAAAAACAAACATCGAAAATAACTCATCAGACAATTCTGGTGATGTTAACTTACCCTGGAAATTCGCTTACATTCTTTCTGGTAGCTTCAAACATTTTCTTCCAGTTGTATTCAGCTTGGGTAGACTCAGCGTTGTATGTTAAGGAGGTACAAGCTGGTAGACAGTCGCAACCAGCGTCTCCACTAACGTCGAACGTAGAACTTGATAATCCTGATTCTACTTCTTTCTCTAAGAGCTTTGCTGAAGAAGATATAATTGGTAATATCAACTAGAAGATGTACATTTCTTTGTCTTTTACTGTGTATCAAGATATAACACTTACTTTGTGCTTCGAACATACACTTGATGCTTCCAGAACCACAAATTGGTGTTGACTCTTCATCTAAAACGATAAAACAACAAATTTTAGAAAAACAAAAGCAAAAAATGTGACAATTTTCTTCTTCTTTCTTTATTAACAAAAGAAGTACATAAAACATATAGGAAATAGATTAGCAGAATTAGAAAACATCAATCGTTGGAAACATTTTATTGTCCACAGCTGTACTTACGAGGCATGTGGTAGGCTACACAATTACACATTTTCAGAGTGAAATTTGTCAAACATTCGACTTGACAGTTTTGCTGTGTGTAACTCTGGAAGAAAGACAAGTATCTTTCGTTGGGAAAGAAGCATTGTCTTCTATGAGGATTGTAGTCCTTTAGTCCTGCTGACGTAGTCATCATATCCGGTTTTATAGAAACCACCACTTCCTGATTCAGAGGAGCCCTGAAGTACTGCCTGCTGACTCTTGGGACCTCTGCTGGGTGATGTAAGAGAATCTGTGAATTAGACACATTAGAGAATGATCACGAAAAACGATTTCAGTAACCTTGAATCCTTGAACTGGCCCTCTACAGATGTAGTCCAAGTCTGGACCATAAGCTTTTAGTTCTAGAAATAGACCAGCTGAGGATCCCGCAGACATGGCTCTTCTGGGGAAGGTGTCCTTCTTTGCGCCCCTCTTGTAGCCGTCTTCCAACGTCCAGTCTTCAGTGTCTTTCCCGTGGCCCATATATTTATGCTCTAAGTAGCTACAAGTAAGATATTTGATTCTGGTACTGATATTTTAAGTTATAATTCTGAAAATGTTTAATAACTAACTTTCCGGAAAGGTAGATAGGACGAAATGGCCCTGTGTGTTGGCCAGCACGAAGTCCGTATATGAACCCTCTAGACTTTTTTGTTTGGGGGTGTATGAAAATGTGTACACACCTATTCACAGGTCAACATTTGATCTAAGAATAAGCACCGGACCTGACCAGGGTACTTATAGGTTTTTTAGATGGCTGATTCCGAATCCGAGATTGGCTAAGCTCCATCACGACAGGTTCAAGGTCATTTGAAGGTCAAATGGCCAAAAATTGTCTAAAAAATCTGAAAAAATTCATACGTATGTTTTTGGGGTAGCCGAGTTCAAAGCCGCTGCCATTTTTATCATTCAAAGATATCTAAAGGTCATATCAATGTCATTTGGAGGTCAAATCGAGAAATATAGTCTAAAAAATCTGAGAAAATTTATACGTATGTTTTTGGAGTAGCTGAGTTAAAATCCGCTGTCAGTTTCACCCCTGAAGGACATCTGAAGGTTATATGAAAGTCATATCAAGGTCATTTGAAGGTCTAATCGAGAAAATCTGTATAAAAATCTGAAAAAATTTAGGGAAGTCACGAAAAAGTTTTTAGGCAATAATAAAGACCCCGACTACATAAATATTGTTGCATCAATGGTAAACCAAAAATTAGGATGTTTAATGAACCTTAAACTCCACTTTTTTGATTCTCATCTTGACTTCTTTCCAGAAAATCTAGGGGCATTTAGTGACGAACAAGGTGAAAGAATGCATCAGGACCTGATTGACTTTGAGAAAAGATATCAGAGTGTTTGGGGAAAGAATATGTTGGCCGACTATTGCTGGTGTTTAAAAAGAGTCACAAACGTAGAACATAAAAGACGATTAATTTGTATGCTAAACAAGGAGATTCATTTATTGAAAACAATTTTAAAAACAGTAAGGTGTAAATGGGGTGAAAGTCTCACCTTAATGGCTGGACACGTTACTGTTCTTGCCTTAACTGGCCGGGACATCCAGTCGTCTTGACTTAATTGTCTGGACGCGCTTATGTTCTTGCCTTAACTGGCCGGGACATTCAGTCGTCTTGCCTTAAGAGGCTGGACACACTCTTTTTCCTGCCTTAACTAGTCGGAACATTCACTCGTCTTGCCTTAACTGGCTGGACACACTCTTGTTCATGCCTTAACTGGCTAGGACATTTACTCATCTTGCCCTAATTGGCTGGACACGCTTATATTTCTACCTAACTGACCGGAACATTGCCTCAACTGGCTAGCCTCCTTTATGTTTTCCCCTCATTCGGTCAGGAGTCGTATACATACGTATATATTTTTTCAGATTTTTTAGACCGATTTTCTCGATTTGACCTACAAATGACCTCGACATGACCTTGATACGACCTTTAGATGTACTTATATGGTGAAAATAACAGCGGCTTAACTCAGCTAGCCCAAAAACATACGTATAAATTTTTTCAGATTTTTTAGACCGATTTTCTCGATTAGACCTTCAAATGACCTTGATATAACCTTCAGATGTCCTTCAGGGGTGAAACTGACAGCGGATTTTAACTCAGCTACTCCAAAAACATACGTATAAATTTTCTCAGATTTTTTAGACCATATTTCTCGATTTGGCCTCCAAATGACCTTGATACGACCTTTAGATGTCTTTGAATGGTAAAATAGCAGCGGCTTTGAACTCGGCTACCCCAAAAACATACGTATGAATTTTTTCAGATTTTTTAGACCATTTGACCTTCAAATGACCTTGAACCTGACGTGATGGAGGTGATTATTCTTAGATCAAATGTTGACCTGTGTATCGATGCAAACAGCCTTATTTTTGCTGCAGCTAATGAAATTCGACAAATTCCGGGAGTATTTGCACATATGTGGATTAACTTTGAACAATGTTTGTAGAGCATGTCGTCTATTGGTAGGTAATTCGTTGATTCGTTCAATTATTGTGTTACTTTTAAACGAGATTTGAATAAATTTCAACATTTTTTAATACAAAATTTAAACCGCCATCAGCGCTTTCGCACTGCGGCGCGCGGCAATTTCGATATCAAAGGTACAGCTGGCTGTCGCACAGGGACGGCTTTAAATTTGTTTAAACCTTCATGTAAATTTTATTTTTATTTGGAAACGTAATCTTTTAGACTATCAGTTGCAAAAGTTGCAAAGTTGCAAAAGTTGCATATTTTCGTGCCCCTTTTCAAGGAATGAACTTATTTCAGAAACACCCTGTTATGTAGAAAAAATCCTTTTGTTACCTATTTAAATTTTCTTATTAGGTATAAATTCCCAAAAGCGTAAATAAAATTGTTTTTATTATGTGTAAATAATAATTGTAAATGGTATATAATGCGAAATTAATTATTATTCCTTGCAAACAAATAATTATGGTACCAGATGGACCCTTCCCCTTTTTATGACCTTGTTTGAAGTTCAAAATTCCCTATGCACCCATATCAAACTAATTTTTTAACATGCGATTATATCTTTCCTACATGTCTGTTTGACAGTTAGAGGTCAGATTGTATCGATAAAAATACAAATTTACTGGAACGCGTATCCCCTATTTGATATTGAAATAAACATCCCTAGGGCTATTGTGCGTTTCCCTAAAAGAATTATACAAATACTATTTGGATGGGAGTGTAATGTATGTTTTTATTTGCGAAAAAAGTGGTGTTTTTCACAATTGTCATGTAAATAACTACTTGGGCAATAAGATAAACATAACAAACACTTACACCTTATTTCTAAGAAGTTGACTCCTATCCAACATGTTAAAAGTAAAACATAAACCCTCTTCTGTAAGAATAGGATAGAAAAGACTGCTGCAAGATTTATTCTGCAGAGTCCATCTGCAGGAATGGAACACATCGTCAAATTGAGGCGCAACCTAAAAACATTTTAATAAAAATGACAAGTAACTTCTTTTCAGTCTGTAAAAAGTAAAAATCTAAAAGAAACTTACACTCATTAAGTAGTCAATCGTGTCAAGACCAGTAGTTAGATTGCCAGCATTGTAAAGGTGATTGTCACAAATTAGCGCACTATCTGATAAATGTTTCAATCTAAAAGAGAAATCTTTTTTGTAATAGATAGAAATAGTCTCAAATGTTCTAACTGTTATTTTCATTAGCCTTGTTGTAGAAATAGTCTCAAATGTTCTAACTGTTATTTTCATTAGCCATCTGTGCGATGATTATCAACATATCATAGTTGGCATTTCTTAGGCTCGTTTCAAATGGACGCTGACGGTCAACGCGTTCTAACCCACGAGCGGGAATAATTCCAATGAAAAAATATTGACAGCTGTTAATCTAGCCGCTGCTTATACGACAATGTCCAGCTTTGACTAAGCTTGCAAATATAACAGTATTCGAATTACTTCATCAGAACTATCAATTCAACGTTTGTGTAAAATATAATATCGGCAGACCGTCAACGTGTTGACCATCAGCGCCTGTGTGAAACGGCATTTAGAAGCTGTTGGTATGATTATCTCTGCCAATTTGGCTTTTACTATTAGATAGATTTTTTTTTATAAAGAGTATGTAACCTGTTTCAGGAAAAATGAGTCGCATAGAAATTGATGTAGGTCAACACATCAACAGCATCCTAATCGTTAGCACGTCGACGATTGGCGTTACTTAGGCGCGTTTCAAATGGACACTGGTGGTTCATGACTCTCGAGAAGGAATAATTTCTATGAATTATCGCTATTACTCTATTGGGTCTTATACGATAATGTGCAGCTTGTCTAGACATGCAAGAGTAACAGTAATCGAAAGCTTCATCAGCGTTAGCGATTTAATGTGTCAAACATACATAACATAACGAGCGTTCAAATAAAAACGTGGTCAAGTTGGTTCTGAAAATTTGGACGTAGGGCGTAGCGTATAGCAAATGAACTTAAACGTCATCTGTCAAAGCGCTATATCGCCGCTATCAATTTGAATATTTTCGTTTTAAAAAGCGTTTAAAATGGTGTTTTCTCAAGAACAAAAAGTGTTTATCATAGAGTCCTACTTTAGAAATGGACGCAAGATTGATGGAATATGGAAGTATTCTATTGAGGAATGTTTCATAGAATTTCAAAATCAATTTCCCGGCGTTGTTGAGTACAAAATTTTTCAAAGTGCAGTTCAGCGTTGTGTTAATGTTTTTCGTGAAACGGGCAGTGTAACAAGAAAAGAAGGAAGCGGCCGACCTAAAAAGCGGACTGAAGAATTAAAAGAAAATGTCCAACAAATAATGGAAAATGCGCCAAGAACTTCTGTACGTGTTTTATCACAAATGGTGGGAGTATCAGTCGGTACCTGCCACACAGTGTTAAAAAAAGATTTGCGTTTGTTCTCCTATCGTTTAACTTGTCAGCAAGAACTTCATGAAGTTGATTTTCCGCGACGGGCTGTATTTTGTGAATGGTTTTTAAACAACTACGGTGAACTTCATAATATCACCTTTTTTTCTGATGAAGCCTGGTTTCATTTAAGTGGTTACGTAAACTCACAGAATATGAGAATGTGGTCTTCTGAAAAACCAGATAACTTTTTTGTCGAGGGCCCTCTACACGCTCAAAAAATTGGAGTTTGGTGTGCTCTCAATCGAAGGAGGATTTATGGACCTATTTTTTTTAATGGTACTCTTACTGCGCAAAGGTATAGAGAAGAAATTATCGCTCCTTTTGTTAACCAGCTGGAAGAAAACGAAATTACAAACTTTTACTTTCAACAAGATGGCGCAAGGGCACATACGGCAGGCGAGACGATGAATATGTTGAGGGAAGTTTTCCAAAATCGACTAATAAGTCTCAATGCTGAACATGAATTTCCACCGAGGTCATGTGATATTACGCCGTGTGATTTCTTTTTGTGGCCTTACCTTAAAAACACTATTTTTGAACTGCCTATTCCTGATTTAAACCATCTGCAGGCTCGACTTATAGACAAGATTCGTGAAATTAACAATACCCCGAGCATCTTAGAAAATGTCTTTAATTCTTTGAGGAACAGGTGTGAAAAGTGCTTGGAACAAGGAGGGGGACACTTTCAGCAGCTGCTTTAATTTATTGTTATAACAAGGAGGGGGACACTTTCCGCAGCTCCTTTAATTGTTTGTTATTGTTATCACGATTATTCTTTAAAATAAAGTTATATAGTCATTAACGTTATTGAAACTGACAGCTGCTATACAGCTCGTTGAGAAATGAGGTTAAGTTGGTCGCTATAAGCTACTCCCTACGTCCAATGTGTCAGAGCCAACTTCGACCACGTTTTTATTTGAACGCTCGTTATATAGATCGTCAGCGCGCTGACCATCAACGCCTAGATGAATTGGTGCACAGAAGCTGTTGGTGTGTTCTTCTATGCCAGCTTGCCTCTCGGCTATGCGAAATATGTTTTCTGAAACAATAAAATGTAGTACACCAACGACTTCTAAGCTGATGGTCAGCGCACTAATCATCAGCACATCGATGATTGCCATTACTTAGGCTCGTTTCAGTGGACGCTGATGGTTCTGATAATCTGCGAGCAGGAAGAATTTGCTACTAATATTGACAGCTGTTGCCCTATCTCCGGATTATACAGTACCCAGTTGGTCTAAACCTAGACAGTAAAATACACATAACATCAATGGATCATCAGCGCGCTGATCATCAGCACATGTGTGAATTGGAGCTAAGCATTGCTTCAGAAAAACAGGGTCGTACAATAAACTGACCAGTTGTTACAGGTTAACACATCAACAAGTTCAGTTTCACACAGGCGCTGGTCGTCAGCGTTTTGATCATCAGCACATTGGCGATGGATATTACTATCTGCACAATGCCCAATTTGTCTGGGCTTGTAGATGTAACAGTACTCGAGGACCTTCAGCACTATCGATTCAATGCATGTGCAAAACGAAATTTAAAAACTGTTGGCGTGTTACTCTATGCCAGCTTGGATTGTTACTGTGCGACACTGCGACACTCTGAAACTATCTGGACCAACTTCAAGTTTCGAATACTAGCATACTTACTCAAGATCGGTTAAGTTATGTTGCATCCTATATTTGTCGAATGTGTCTGTGAAATTGTACACCGTCTGTTTAGTTTTAGTTTCTGAGCAGATGGTCACTGCTGGGAATGGTATTTGCCAAACAGGGGTTGGACTTCTTGCAAAACTTACTAATACTGGGGACGTGTCCCACTTTTCCCAGGTTTTTATTATCAAATCGATACATATATAGAGTGATATGCAGAACAGTATTAACCACCATAGTCTGAAATCATTAGAAAAATAATGTAGTTGGAATTTTTGTAATATGTATATATGTAATATACAGGGTGGTCCAGATTTTAATAGACAAACTTCGGGAAAGTACTAAACCACAAAAATTAACATCACTTTGCTCTATGAACATAGGAGCAGAAAGGCACCGTTTTTGAGATACAGGGCGTTGAAATGACAAAAAAAAAATTTTTTTAAATATCAGGAAAACTGCTTCATCAAATTTTGTAATTTTTTTTTTCAAATATTTCTCCTGGTTCTGTATGCACACAGTCCAAATTCAAAAACCAGTGGCGCAGAAACAAGGTTATGGTTTCCTTATTTAAAGTAAAATTTTTACGCCACTGAATTAATTGGTAATACGAATACATTTTATAACGGTGTGCAACATTCCGGATAAAAAAACATTCTTTTATTTTTGTTGAAAAGTGAATGGTTTACGAGTTATAAGGCATATTATCCAAGTAAACAAAGCGTTGAAATTGGGAAAAATAAAACGAATTTGGGTGGTTCAGATGGAAACTTGACTGGATGACTTATGGAAAGTACTAAATAACAAAATTTAACATTACTTTGTTCATAGGCATAGAAAGCCACCATTTATGAGATACAGGGTGTTGAAATTAAAAAAAATTAAACAATTTTTTTAAATATCTGGAAAACCGCTTCATCAAATTTATCCAAATTTGGTAGACACACAGTCCAAATTCAAAAACCAGTGGCGAAGAAACAAGGATGTCGTTTCCTTATTTAAGGTAAAACTTCTACGTCACTTATACTCCTCCGATTCTTTGTTATGAAATCGGTCTTCTCGCTTATAATACTCCCTAATACAATGCCATTTTAAATTGTATGGTATGTTCTTCAGTGGACACTCGATAACTATAGTGTTCTATTAGGTTACTCTCAGGCATCTGTTCTAATTTGGCTTTATCATAGATAACCTACTCAAAATAAATTGTGTCCATTCTTCATTATGGGACCATAATAATGAAATAAATAAATTTGCCGCATCGTCTATAATTAGTTGAGCATATTTTTAAAAGTGGAGTTAGACATTACCAAATTAATATGCTAATACCTAAATCTTTGTATAAGACATAAACGTAGAATTTGATTAACACTTGAAATTAAAAACATAGTTGGCGGACATCAAAAATGAGATTTAATATTAATGGTTTAATAAATATTAAATGTAATTGATTTAATTTATTTGTTTTTCTTTTAACTTTACTTGTTGTTCATGTTACCTGAAAGATGGGTCCGACATGTTTGGTATGATATTCAAAAATGTGTACTAAATTTGGATAAATTTCATGAAGCGGTTTTCTAGTTATTTAAAAAAAATAGTTTTATTTTTGTTAATTTCAACGCCCTGTATCTCATAAACGTTGGCATTCTGCGCCTATGTGCAAAGTGATGTTAATTTTGTTGTTTAGGGCTTTCTCAAAGTTTGTCTATTAAAATCTGAACCACCCAAATTCGTTTTATTTTTCCTTATTTCAACGCTTTGTTTACTTGGATAATGTTTCTCATAACTCGAAAACCATTCACTTTTCGGCAAAAATAAATGAATGGTTTTTCATTCGGAATGTTTCAGACCGTTATAAAATTTATTCATATTACCAATTAATTCAGTGGCGTAGAAGTTTTACTTTAAATAAGGAAACGATATCCTTGTTTCTCCACCATTGGTTTTTGAATTTGGGCTATGTGCATACAGAACCAAGAGAAATATTTGAAAAAAATGTGTACCAAATTTGGATAAATTTGAAGAAGCGGTTTTCCTGATATTTAAAAAAAATATTTTATTTTTGTTAATTTCAACGCCCTGTATCTCATAAACGGTGGTTTTTCTGCGCCTATGTTTATGGAGCAAAGTGATGTTAATGTTTGTTATTTAGTTCTTTCCCGAAGTTTGTCTATTAAAATTTGGACCACCCTGTATACAGTTCATGTGATGTATGTAATAAACTTTTCCCATATAAACTTCAAAATTATTGATAGTCCATGACTAAGATACTGAAATATTTTGCAAATATCTGATGGTATCCAATAACTCAAAATGTTAATACTTAGTGTTAAAGGGGCCAGTTTTAGTTTAAAATAGCTATATCCTACTTACTTTTCAAAAATGGATCTGTCTTGTTCTCCCATATATTTGAATCCGTGGATGCCAGTATAGTCAGTGTACTGCTGTATATAATCAAGCATATTTTTTCGAAATCCCGGATACTTTCGCTTCGATTTAATGGCTCCATTTTCTATTTCCTTTACCTTCGCCAATTCTACGTCTGTTAACTTATCTTCTTTGCTGACAGCTCGTTTCATTTTTAGCTGTTGCAAGTTTTTCTACACGAGATTTGGAAAAATACAAGTAATATCTTCTTTTGTCGGAACAAAATTTTGTGAGAATTCCGTCGACTTATCGTGCAATTTGTTCGAATTATCGAAAGGTTATAAGGTTACTTTGGTAATGTTGTTCGATTTGATAAATTTTAATTTAATGAGAAATAAACAGTCCTAAGAAAATAATAGCGTTTTACAGACATAAAGATAAAGACTAATTTTATCAGAGAAAATCCACGACAAAGTTAACGTATAATTAAAACTATTTAAATATTACTTTAATGCAATTGCAACTACTAATTACGAAATGTCAACGTTTAAATTCGTGCAAGTTTAGATAAAGCGACTTAATTGCCGTAACAAAATTGGATGTACGAACCGTAATGTAAGTAATATAAAAGTACTTACCGTGTGGATGTACTTCCTCGAATTACAGCGCAATGGGCAGTGGATGATCTAAGGGTAATGTTTCACTTACCTACATTCAACCAATAGCAAATGACTTGCACGCAAGTTCTCGTATATATTAATAAAAGATGAGCAGTTCATAAATTCACACCCTGTGTCCGGGGAATTGAAATTTGTTGACACTAATTTTCAGCGAAAAAATAATTAGTTCTAATATTGTCTATACCGTATGACTGAATATGGGGTAGGCATTGGGCTTGAATGAATTAAAAATTAAAATGTAAAGTACCTATAATTAACTAATTACACTGAAAACCAAACACCAATAATTAAGCGACGAACTTTAGATGATTAAAGAAATAGTTCTAAAAGTGGTGTATAAGTTTCAGTTAGACATTTTTGTCTGAATAAAAATATGATACTAATACATATCTATTTTTTTTTCTTAGGAGTGCTAAATTTGTCAAGAATGATTTTGCATTTGATGAAATATTTAACAAAGACAATTTCACAGCATTTTATTAGCTGGAACTATCCAAAACAGTGTATCAGTAGTATTATAAGTATTTTATAACAATTTCTCATGCAAGTAAAGAAATTTTTATTCATGATAAGGTATTTTAAATAACTTAACAGTTTTTACATAAAAATATTTGATTAGTCTTGAACAGTTTTTTAAATAATATTAATGAGAAAATCTTCAAACATATTTTGTGCAGGTTTTTATTAAAATATAAGTAAATATTGTTAATATAAGTTGAAATACAAGGTGATTCGCAAATGGTGACCAAAAATGAAACCTCATATTCTTTGGTGAATTTTAAGGGAAGTCTTTCCTATCTAGGACGCTTCGTTAAAAAGATACAGGATGTTAAAGTTCAAAAAATATTTTTAATTTTTTTAAATATATTAAAAATTTGTAAGTAAAATAATTTGAAATTGGGCACATGTATTTATGTAAACATTGTCCAAAATCTTAGAGCTTTTCCTAAAATTTACATGCCCCAGTGGCGGAGAAACAGGGTATCGGTGGAATTTTTTCCTAAATAAAATAGTACGCCACTGCTTTACGGTAACAACCAAGATATTTTCGGATTCGTCTTTCAATTTTCTACAAATTACTACTTTCTTATGTTTTTCAAAAAAGCCCGATTTTCGAGTAAAACTTAAAAAACCAACTGAAAACACTTAATCACATGACAAGCACTAATCATTCAGTTATTTATTCCAATAAAGAAATTAATAACATTAGTCATCATTTTAAAGATTTTATTTGAGTAAATACTCAAAAATACCTACATTTCCACGAACACAGGCCATACATATTTTTAGTAACGAAAATATAATTTGTTCGAAATTTATTGTTGCTTGAATCTGATGAAAAATTTTATTTATCTTTCTTCTAACTGCTCAGAATGTCAAAGTTGCTGGCACAGCCTACTATGTAATTTTAAAAAGCATTAGGTATATTCAAATATCGAAGTGTGTTCTCAGTTAATTTTTTAAGTTTTACTCGAAAATAAGGTTTTTCCGAAAAACATGAGAGAGTAGTAATTTGTAGAAAATTGAAAGACGAACCCGAAAATATCATGATTGTTACCGTAAAGCAGTGGCGTACTATTTTATTTAGAAAAATATGCCACCGTTACCTGTATCTCTGCCACTGGAGTATGTAAATTTTAGGAAAAGCCCACACACAATGTTTACATAAATAAATACATGTGCCCAATTTTAAATTATTTCACTTACTAGTTTTTAAATTATTTAAAAACATTTTAAATATTTTTTCAAGTTTAACACCCTGTATCTTTTTAATGAAGAGTCCTAGATAAAAACTTTATAGGAAAGAATCCCCTTAAAATTCACCAAAGAATACGAGGTTTCATTTTTGGTCACTATTTGTGAATCACCCTGTATAAGTATATAATTTACATAAGTTGTTATAAAATATAAGATAACACAAAAAAACTCCAAATTTAAGAATATTTACCTCTGTAAACATTTGCCCATGAGACCTTTGTTTTTGATTTCCAAAAAAAAGTTATACTTTTAAATATCACCTGATCACATGAAGATATATTGTAATTCAATTTTATGTGCGCAATACAATATAATACAATTAAAAGAATTTATTTTATTAAAAATATAAAATTAAGTTCTGAAGTTAAATTTGTGGTCTCCGGAACTGCTTCAGATACCACGGAAGAAAATTACGGAGCGATCTGTTAAAAAGAAAAGTCAAAACCTCATTATTAACCTGTATGACTATAAAAGATTTCTCTAAATTTGGGATTAAGAACCCAGAATGAATTAGCACAAAGAGGATAGGGAAGGATTTTCATTGCGTTCAATTTTTCAAAGAAATTTTTATTCTGGGAAACTTAGAGGTCGTATTGAATATAACCCAATCTTCTCTAAAGCTACATAAGGTTATTCTAATACATTGGACGATAGTAAATAATGAATTATAATTTAGGGCAATCCTTAAATGTGTTGTGTCCGTACAATAAACTGATCAAAAAAAGCAAAAATTACATGAAGACCGACAGCTCTAAATCAAAATGGAAAGAAACAAATTCAAGAGGATGGTTCAAGAACTGCCGAGTTGGAAAGTACCTACATTCTACAAGAGCAACCGCTGCCTTAAATGTAGCTAAAGAGGAAGTTGGAGAACAACTTTTTAAAATTACGGGGCACAGTAACAACCGATCGATCAATCAAACCTTATATGGATGTGAAACAGCATAGGAAAATAATTGAAACCTAGAGAAAAATTGTATCTAACACCAGTAAATTTAGCAAGACCAAAATGTAACAGAAGCTAATATTAAAACAGAAAATGCAAACCCTTAACTCAAACCAACCCACAATTATTGTTTATAATGTGTTTTTAATATTACTAATAATAATTATGATAAGTAATTTTATATTAATATAAAGAAGAGTTACTAATTTAATTTCGTCAAAAATAATAAACCAGGGAATATAGGTATATTTCATATAGTACAGTTTATAAAAAAAAAAACAAATTATCAGTTGTTTTAGTTGAAATTCTATTATAAATATATTACTTATTTATATTTGTAATTGCATTTTATATTGTACTAAATGGAATTTTGGGCTAAAATAAATTATTAATATGTCAGTATATGGTACAAATGTCATTTTATATGACGAAATTTTCAGTATTGGGTGCCCCCAAGAAAAATTTACAGATACTTTTTTCGTTGCCATAATAACGTATTAAAATATCATTTGTTTGACTACAAAATAGAGGTGCGAAAGTTTCATAGTATAAAATACTTTTAAATTTTTAAAGAGAAAAACGCGGTTTGATATTTAGAACATTGCTGTGTTACATCCTGTTTAAGTTACTATGGTTCTCACTAAAATTATCGCATTGCTAAGTGATACATCCTATTAACATTAAAGTCACTTTTAGTCTGGACTGCCAGACCAATTATTGCTTCCAAACATTTTGATGTTACAAATAATTCTAAGTGTGCAATAATATACGATCTCAATTAACGAAAGCATGGAAAATCCAACGAAAAGTCCCAATAAGCCTCTAAAGTTGGCCAGAAAGTCAGTGACACCAAATAGTTCGTTTCTTTCCATTATGATAAACTGATTTCCCTTGAAAAATACTTGGAAATAGGACATATGTTCCATGAAATTACAAAAATAATTTAATTCTAAATGTCTAAAATATTTTTAAAATATGGAGTATGACTTAAAATATGTAATATCTTAAACTAGTATATATTTCGTGAAATGAAATAGAAAATAAGTAAAATTCACATTCTTTACTCGTCACTTTTCGTTGGATAATGTTTTCTCCAATTCCACGTTGATTCTGAATTTTCCACGTTATAGTACATGGAAGTGCATATGGGTAAGCAGTCACATTTACCGGTTCCTTTCGATTGTTTGCCCTGACGCAATGTTTTTAGTTTCTTATTAATTCCATGGAATAGAAGATGATCTAAAATTGGTAGTTTAAAGGATTGAAAGTTTATGTATCTGGCGCAATATACTTACTTTCACTTTCGTAAATGCAGTCCAATTTACCACCGGTACAGATTTTGGTTTCATTATCCCCTGAAAAATTAAAGTCACATCTAAAATATTTTCAATGCGACGCACAGTGGGCGAAAAGCTCAAAATTCCGTGCTAGGTAGCAAGAGTTGTCCAATATTTTTTTAAATGCTCGTAATTATGTCCGCTTTCTTATGTCATTATGACAATTGAGATATATAAAGATATCTTGAAACCATAAACCTAAAAACCTAAACTAATAAATCTAAATTAATTAAACTAAACCCAGACCCATAAAATTTAAATCAATAAAAACTAAACCCACAAAATCTAAAGGTTTATAGTTTCAAGAATTTGTGGTTGAAGGGTTTACAATTAACTGGTTTTAAAATTTATACCTTACATTTTTTATATTCGCTAAATATTGTTCATATTTTGTGGTATCATTTATGGGAAACATTTCTGATGATTGTAGTTCATAAGAGTATTTAAGGTACCGCAAGTTGAGATCTTAAAATATCGCAATTGTCGCAGTGACATAAGAAAGCGGATATAATATCCCAATTTGGACAACATTTACTA